CCACCCTACGTGATAAATCCAAATGAGGGACTAGAATGCCATTGTTTACATGCTGCAATATGATTTATTCCTCCATTTTTTTTATTTATAATACATGTGTGCATGCGAAAAAGTCATGCATCAGCTGAAATGTCATGGTTCTGGCAACTTGAAATACAGAATAAATCCAGTTTACAAACAATGCAGCTACAGTCTCTCAATTGCAGTCAGACATGAAGACTCTAACAAGGCAAACATACCATGGGACTATGACTATGACAAAGGGTAGGATAATCATTGCTCATTACTGTGCCTGCGAGCAAGATCTGTGGTCATAGAGACATTTCATCAAAGTGTCTGACAGGGCCACACAATTGAAGTATGGTTCTGATGAATAGGGCACAGTTCAATCCCCTAGAAGGTTGGGTTTTCAGAATGTTACCCAATTAACTAACAGCATTTAACTGTATGTATAATATTATCTGTTAGTTCAGCTTTGATAAATAAATAGGAACTTTATCTGAAGCTTTCTATTGCTCCATCAGACCCTTATTTTGCTACTAATATGAGTATATCTTTGGGCAGTCTTCTACACACAAGGAATTCCTGACCTGTGGGCAGGAGATAATCATGACAGCTATTTTTGATCTTGAGGCATCTGACGTATGACAGCCATTCCTGACTTCAGGGCTTCTTGAGATTCACATAGCTGTGCCAAGATGCTATGATACACTCTGATGTGGACAGAACAGTACGTTTGTCTTAAAAACGGATAGTTTCACCCTTCACTAAGGAACCACTAGACAAGTTTAAATGCCTTATACACTGGTGCTGATTAAATAAAATAGTAAAGGTTGTTCACTTAGCAAATTAAGCAATAGAAAATAAGGTGTAACTGTACTAAGATCATGTGTGAGGGACGGTAAAACAGGATTTTTGCCAGCACATGATTGCTTGATTGAACTGAACATATCTTAACCTCTTCTACTAAGGTCAGTGAGCACTCACTTTGCAAAGCGAACAGTGTATTCCCTTAGCGAGCACTACTATTTTACCAGATGCCAAGAAACTTTTTAGGTTTACTTTCAAATACCTCACTGCAAAAGGAGAAAGGACTTCTTGGTAATTCTATTTTCATACGGTAAGTCAATGGCACATGATAAGGAAGGGTTTTTAAAGTATTTAATACAGTCTGTCTCCCTGTAGAAGACATTTCCCTTCACTTCCTGTCCCTGTGATATTGTTCTCCAAGGCAGAAAGCAAGGGGAATTATCTTCAAAATGGACACTGAAAAAAAACGTCTGTGCCCCTATTGGGGAAATTCACCCTCACTTGTTCTCACAGTATCTATGGTCAATGGGACAGGAGGTAAGGGGAAATCTCACCAACAATATAACAGACAGTAATGGCATCCTGATATTTATTAAATTATTGAGCAGCAAGTATACATAAATAAGTGTAGCTTTTGTCAACTGGAGAACAGCTGGTCTCTCTCTGGTTTCAAATTTGTAAACCACTGAGGCTGCAACGAATGAGCAAGAGGACCACATTTGGCCCAAAAAACACCAGTTTGACATGCCTGGCCTCAAATAATGTGGGCCTTCACACAGAAATATAACCTAGCATCCTTCTAATCCCCTCCTCCTTGTAACAGAATTATATGTCATTTTTTGGGAGGGAGATCAAGTACACTTTTCTGCAGGTGTTTGTTGCCACATCCTCATTCCTCGCCCAAATGAGGAATTATGTAACCCTCAGCCTGCTCCCCCTCAATGGCAGCCTTCTGGGATACACGTCTTGCATCCCAGGAGGCTTGTCTCCCTGCAGTCTATGATCTTGCGCATAGGGGAGCAAGCTGGGAGTGATCATGAAGTCACAGTCGGCTCCCAAATGCATTATGGCAGCAGGGAATATCAGAAGCCCTGCAAAGGTTCGAGGAAGACAGTACTGGACTTGAAAAGCTGGTAAGTATTTGTTTTTTTAAGTCAATAGCTAAAGTATTTGTAGCTGCAGACTTTTAATGTACCCATAGCTAGCATACAGAAAGCAATGCCCTATATTGTATATACTATTACTAACATGGTAGACGCAATGAAATACTATATTTGGCCTCACATGTCAAAACGAAAACAAAATGATAGAATCTGAGCAAAAGAACTGCTGCTGTAAGTCTAAGACATTATCGTGTTTCTGAACTTTTCTTCTGAAAAGGGACTTTTTACGTTTTTCTCATGTTTCTTAAAAAGGAGTCATTTCTTGAAAAGGAATGCGGTGATGTAGTTAATTTTGCAATGTGTATAACACAAATTCCTTTACAATGACACATAGGAGTGGGTTAAGAGTGAATAGTTTTAAGAAGTTTAAGCCTTAGAAGTTTCCAAAAAGGATGAAGCTTGTCTTGTAGTGGCCGATTATGCTACATTTTCACCCATTTGTCTCAAATACAAAGGCATGGTTCCTAGTTATTAGGAAAACAAAAACACCCAAATGTTTTTTTATCCTGGCCATATATATGTTTTTGGCTTGATCCATTTGAGCTTCTCCTATGATAATATTTACATGTTCTGCTGTCCAACCATTTCTAAGTAATGACGCTTTGTATGGGTAAATGAAAAGCTGTTTTTTTAAATGCTCTACACTGTTTGCACTCTGTACTTGCATTTGCTGCCAGGACCCATGTTAGCATGTTTTCCTATGCTTTCTATTATCTTTTCCTTTCTGTCTACTATATATGTATGAGTCAGAAACTAAACTGCTCCCACCATCTCTCAATAGGCAGTCAACACTCGGAGTTATTCCCAATTTGGTTCTCCAGTCTACAGTCATTTAGTATACATTGGGGTCTATTCACTAAGCTGCCGAGTGAACAACCGACCCCAAGTGAAGTGAGCCGAACACTGTTCGGCTATTCACTTCAGGCTGGTACGGTGGATTTCAGCAGTACATTGGCTTGCTTCACATGGCTTCGGCCGACACGAAGTGCAGAAGGAGTTCGACACAGCCGATCCAACAACAGCTGAGCGGCATTCGGCTCGGCTGTTCTGCTCGGTCCCTCTGAGGGACCGAGCAGAACAGAAAAAGAGTTAAAAGTTTTTTAAAAAGTAAATAGAAAACGATTGTGCAGATCTAGCAGTGACAGCTAGCTCCGCCCAATAGTTTCCTATTGTCCGGCGGCTCTGCTGCTGTAAAAAAAAAAAGAAAAGAAAAAAAACTCTCCCGGGCGCTCTGGGAGCCTCCCGCTCCTGGCCGCCCAGGAGAGAAACACTGTTGTGTCTTTTTTTTTCTTTATTCTGACACAGAGCGATGTCAAAATAGAAAAAAAAAAAATTCCCATTGAAATGCATTGCTACATTACTATTGGCTACTTCAATTTGCAATAGCCAATAGTAATGTAGCAATGCATTTCAATGGGAATAAAAAATATATTTTTTTTTTCTATTCTGACATCGCTCGTGTCAGAATAAAGAAAAAAAAGGACACAGCAGTGCTTCTCTCCTGGGCGGCCGGGAGCAAGAGACTCCCGGGGCGCCAGGGAGAGTTAGCTGTTTGGAGATCAGTGTCCCTGGTTAGCATATGCGTTCGGCTCGACTGGAGGAGATAGGAGATGATCCACTGAATGAGAACTATTGACATTACACTGTGTTACATAGCAAGTAACCATTTCAGTACACTCTGCGTATAGAAAGAGGAAGTGACTCAGTTCTTGATATCTTAATAACATTTCTATTGCTCACAAATGTTTCCCACCGTCCCTAGTCTCTGATGTATACGTTGTATTGTTGTTTTAATAATGTTTCTTGAAAACCAAGAAAAGTCTTTACACTAAGGAAACATCAGCAAGCATATACATTAAAAAACAATTGCATCACTTTTTTGTCAGGGTTTCTTACCCCTTTCTCCTTCAGCTGAGCTGCAGCATGCCTTGTTTGCAGTGTGTCTGACACTGTTTGTTCCTCTTTGGTGCCCTCTTATGACCAAATGCAAAAACATCATCATTCTGCAACTACTGACACACTTCTGACAAAATTCCTGTCTCAGAGTGATGATGCAACACTAGTTCACTATTTAACCACATGGTCAATTTAGTCTTCACCCTTGTGTGTGTTCAGATATACAAAGTGCTATGCTGTTCCTGTTCTTCGTGTATGACCCTGGCTCTGGCTGACTGATCTCCTGGTTCCTGACTCCGGCTGTTGTTTCCGTTCATCCTGCCCTCAGTGTTCCCTGATCTGGTTTGGCTAACTACCCATTTCTGTTCTGGCTTGGCATCGACACCCTAGACTTTCTCTATTGTTTTCTGCCACTTATGTTTATTGATATTTTCAATAAACTCCTTTTATTTTAAACCTGCACTTTATGTTTCTGTCTGGTTTCTTTGTATCCTGACACTTTTAAAGAAGACCTGTACTAAGAAAAGTATGGAAGCTGCTGAGCCATTGCTCAACTCTTAGTATTATTAAACTAACTACATGGCTGTCATTCTTTTCAGTAGTTTTATTACTACTGGAATTGCATGTCAAACACACGTATGAATATAAGCACCCTGTAATTACTACATGCTTACTCCAGGGGTTTCAAAAGGTTCTGAGGCCAATACAGCCAGGAAAATATTTTCAGAAGGAAAACAAGTTTCCTTCAATATTGCTTTGTGCATTTATTATTATATTTAGCTGCGGCTAAGGAATGGATGCTAATGTTTTATTCCTCAATGGACCTTCTACACAGGAAGTTAGTTGGGTGTCTGATAATATCCAAAGTCAAACATTATCTCTAATGTCTTCAGCTGTGATACTGTTTTCTTCATCCATATATTTATACATATTATCCAACGCAGTTCTATATAAACTATCCTGAATTTTATTTTTACTGGCCTTTACTTTTGTAAAAACTTGCATTTGCAGAGTTCTCCCACACACTAGACAGCTGCTTATAATGACCTTAAGAGACCCACTTGCTTTCATGTCAAACCATCTGTTCTCCATAACTGCACAAACACTGTTCTGTGAAGAAAAACTGCTTACCTTTCCACCACATCGTCTCCATTCCAGCATGTTGAACCATCTCTCACTGCCAGGTCTCCATCACACAGACGCTCTGCCAGGGTGGTGTAGAATGTTCTTGATGGTTTTATGTACTTGATGAAATCACTGTAATAAGTACAGGATATGGTAGGTCACAAGTCTTATAGGGGAATTACAGTTACATTATGTTTTTTTAAAGAATGTGAAAATGCCTAAACAACCATTTTGTATTGTATATGGCATTAGTGTATTTATAGCCCAAGCATTTAGTTTTTAGTTTTAGATACAGTGAGGATTATAAGCTCTGTGAGACACATGTAATGTAAGCCCTGTGAGTCACATATGTAATGTGAGCACTGTGAGACACATATGTAATGTAAGTACTGTGAGCTACATATGTAAAATGAGCACTGTGAGCCACATATGTAATATGAGCACTGTGAGCCACATATGTAATGTGAGTCACATTACATATGTGGCTCACAGTGCTCACATTACATATGTGTAGTCAAGAACCAGCTGCACTCCTTACCGGAATAGTAGTAAACCTGCCAAGCAGGTGGGTGCTTGTAGTGACCACGGACGGCCCCGTGAACAATGCAGATCTAGAAAGGATTGTCACCAGAACACCAAAAGTTTTGAAGCAAAAAGTCCTTTATTGACAAATCGCCATCCAATACAAGCGCTTTCGGGGTCTCAGCAGTACCCCTTTTATCAGGCTCAGAATTCTGAGCCTGATGAAGGGGTACTGCTGAGACCCCGAAAGCGCTTGTATTGGATGGCGATTTGTCAATAAAGGACTTTTTGCTTCAAAACCTTTGGTGTGCTGGTGACAATCCTTTCTAGATCCACATTACATATGTGGCTCACAGTGCTCACATTATATTTGTGGCTCACAAGACTCACATTATGTAAGTTCTTGTGAGCCACAAATGTAAAGTGAGCACTGTGAGCCACATATGTAATGCGAGCACTGTAATGTGAGTATTGTGAGCCACAAATGTAATGCGAGTCTTGTGAGCCACAAATGTAATGTGAGCAGGGTGAGCCACATATGTAATGTGAGTACTGTGAGCCACATATGTTATAAGAGCACTGTAAGCCACATATGTAATGTGAGTCTTGTGAGCCATATATGTAATATGAGCACTGTGAGCCACATATGTAATGTGAGTACTGTGAGCCACATATGTAATATGAGTACTGTGAGCCACATATGTAATGTGAGTACTGTGAGCCACATATGTAATATGAGTACTGTGAGCCACATATGTAATGTGAGTCTTGTGATCCATATATGTAATATGAGCACTGTGCGCCACATATGTAATGTGAGTACTGTGAGCCACATATGTAATGTGAGTACTGTGAGCCACATGAAATGTATGCACTGTAAGCTCTGTGGCGTTAGTCTTCATTACTGTCCTGTGAAACCGTTCCCAGAACTGAGTACAAATAACACTCAGATAGTTTTTAATGAAAGTATAAACCTGAACAGCAGAAAGGAATGAATAACACATGTTGATATTACATTGCTGGATCAAACAGGGCCCACATAGAAAGATATCAGCCAAACATAATGTTATTGTCCAGCAGGTGGCTGAGGAGCATAAACATTCCAAGGCGATAAATAGACCAACAGGACATGCAAAGCTTGAGAGCTAAGAGCCAGCTGGGGACTTTGTCTTACCGAGAGATTCTTTTCAAGCTGCGAGGCTTGTCATTCTTCGAAGCTTTCAGAGGCAGAGAGCTGGAGAGTTCGGGGTGTAGCAGATAGCCCCAACAGATAAGAAGAGGTGGAAGAAAACATGCAAAGAGTTGGAGAAATAAAAGAGAAAATTACTCAAGGAAGAGTTAATTCTTTATCCGTGCGTGCAGTAGCAATAGAAAACAAGCCATAATGAGAATAGAAAGATAAAACTGCGAGAGGAAGTTCAAGGATATAAAATAAGTTTAATTTATAGAAAACTTTGTAATTTTTTAACTTTACAAATGTAAAGTTAAAAAATTGTTTTGAAAGATGGGTAATAGTATTAGAATTAGCATGAACGTATCTGTCTACCATAAGATGTGACCCTGAACTGCACCAAGGGATCTACTTGTTATGGCAGACAGGTAAATTGCAACTACAATATCCTATCCCTTACAGTCAAGGGAGGTTCCATATTAGCCCCTATATGGATTGCAATTGCTATGGAACTGCACATTTGATCAGCTATGACATCAGCTATTTGATTTTTTAAAGTTTGGTTAAGAGCTGAAAACTTTCCTATTTATGTTCATTCTAATGCCAATACCCCCTCCCCCCTCCCAGACTCCTCCTAAAAGTGAATGCAAGCAGGGTCCGCTCATTATCTCAGGGCTCCCTCCCCATGTATAATTTGCTATATAATAGTAGAGCAGAAAGCAGAGAAAGGGGAAAAAGTTAGAAGAAATACTAGCCTAACCCTCATCTGCAGCATTGCAGGGTGTGATGTCACTATCCTTCCAAGAAGATTTCTAGGTAACAATGAGTACTCCAAATTTCACAAGAGGCGGATCACTTTATAATGAAGGTATACCAGATATACCTAGCAGGTGGAACATAGTAGGGTTTTCATGTAAGTCTCTGGATAGTGATCGAGTAAACGTTATATACACATCTGTGGCAGTGAAAAGGTTTAATATCTGTGTTTCTTCTAGTGTGAGGCATTAGTAGGGATAGGTCCGCTCTACTGAGACATCAGAAATATTACTTAACATCTGATGACTCTTCTGTACTGTACATAGTCTTCTCACCCACCACTAATCACCTGGACCCTGAAATGGTGCTGCTGGAGGAGGTAAATGAGATACAGTGATGTCATTAAATATTTTGTCCATGGCAGTAAAGAGGTTTTAGTGTATTTACACTTGCAGTTCCCATTCACATAGCATACCTACAAATATATATTTTTTAATATTTCTTACCTTTTAGATTTTTCTTTGGAGCAGGCCTTTGTACAGACTGCAGGTTACTTTGAACAATTCCATAATTATTCTGCCCCCATTGAAAGACTGGAGACACACTGAATTTCCCCTCATTAACATACAATGCAGAAGCCAGGCCTCTAGATCTTTATCCCTTTGTTGGGAAAGACAGTGTTGAAATGTAGTTTACAACTGATAATGAGATCTGCCTGCAAAGTACATACAGGGATAATGATGGTAAACATTAACTCCCCGGCTCCCTTGCATGGCAGTGGAAAATTCCGTTTTGGAGTTTAACAAAAAGAACAAAATGTAAGCAGCAATTTTTTGTAGTAAGTTATGCTATGTGAATGGGAACATGCAACGAATATAAAGTAGGTGTTATCCCAATTCGGCTGCAAAAGTGGAAATACACTTTAAGATTAAATATAGGACATTTGGAGCTCACATTTAAAACAAAGCACAAGTGGACAAAAGTGGATACTATGTAAGTTTAGTAACCAATCTTGTATTTGCCTGAATTTCTCTTTGTGCCTGCAGCCTAAGGCAAGGGAAGAATATCAGAGAATGTAAAATGTTTCTGGTGCCAGAAGGATGACTGTGTGGTACCTTCTCATCTGTGCAAGAGAATGGAGTTTTGCTGCAGGAGGCAGCACAGCAGCTGGATCTTCTTTGCTCGTGTTCATCTCAGACATTTCTTTGACTGGACTCTCTTGTAGCTCACCACACACTTTCTCTACCTGCAAGTCAAAGCATAAAGTTTGATATAATGTGTCATTATGGTTCTTTACGTTTTTATATCTATCACTCTATCGATCTATCTGTTCAAGTCACTAGGAAAAAAAGCAGTGGTGGTTCCAGGTACCAGGGGGTGCTTGGGTTTGCTATAGCACCCCCAAATATTTTGCTAGCCCTTCTATAGCACTCCCATCAGCAGCAAGCCCAAACAACAATACTGTCATATATGAGAGATATTGAAGACTATAGCACTGGCACTCGGCAGGCTGCATGGGATTGATATGCCCTAAAGTCATAACAACAGTTTTTCCTCTGGTGCATCCCAGAAAATTGAAGCATGGGTGGGAGTTCGGACAGAGTGTGTTTTTCCAGTGTCGGAGTCAGGCTGGGGTCAAATTTGCCTATTGTTCTCTGCCGTAAGTGTACTACCCCACCTTGGCTGCACAAACAAGTACAACATTCATATTTACAAATAGACTGCTTATTATTTTGAGAAATTCAGCATTATATGAATATCTGAATTGCGAAATAAGAGTATTGTGACCAAATAGTATTGTGACCTCATGGGGTGATAAATAAAATCTGACCCATGCATCTGCAGAGAGTGCTGCTTTATAATATTTGCCCCATATACACTATATTGCCAAAAGTATTGGGTCATTCCTCAAAATCATTGGATTCAGGTGTTCCAATCACCTTAATGGCCACAGGTGTATAAAATCAAGCACCTAGGCATGCAGACGCTTCTACAAAAATTTGTGAAAGAATGGGTCGCTCTCAGGAGCTTCAAGCGGGGTACTGTGATAGGTTGCCACCTGTGCAATAAGTCCATCTGTGAAATTTCCTTGGTACTAAATTTTCCACGGTCAATCGTTAATAGTATTATAACAAAGTGGAAGCAACTGGGAATAACAGGAACTCAGCCACAAGGTGGTAGGCCATTTAAAATGACAGAGCGGGGTCAGCGCATGCTGAAGTGCACAGAAGTCGCCAACTGTCTGCAGAGTCAATAGCTACAGACCTCCAAACTTCGTGTGGCCTTCAGATTGGCACAACAACAGTGCGTAGAGAGCTTCATGGAATGGGTTTCCATGGCCGAGCAGCTGCATCCAAGCCTTACATTACCAAGTGCAATGCAAAGCGTTGGATGCAGTGGAGTCAAGCACGCCACCACTGGACTCTAGAGAAGTGGAGACGTGTTCTCTGGAGTGACGAATCACACTTCTCTGTCTGGCAATCTGATGGACGTGTCTGGGTTTGGTGATTGCCAGGAGAACGGTACTTGCCTGGCTGCATTGTACCAAGTGTAAAGTTTGGTGGAGGGGCGATTATGGTGTGGGGTTGTTTTTCAGGGGTTGGGCTTGGCCCCTTAGTTCCAGTGAAGGTAACTCTTAAGACATCAGCATACCAAGACATTTTGGACAATCTCATTCTCCCAACCTTGTGGAACAGTTTGGGGATGGCCCCTTCCTGTTCCAACATGACTGCGCACCAGAACATAAAGCAACGTCCATAAAGACATGGATGAGTGAGTTTGGGATGAATTAGAGCGGAGACTGCGAGCCAGGCCCTCTCATCCAACATCAGTACCTGACCTCACAAATGCGCTTCTGGAAGAATGGTCAAACATTCCCATAGACACACTGCTAAACCTTGTGGACAGCCTTCCCAAAAGAGTTGAAGATGTTATAGCTGCAAAGGGTGGGCCTACTCGATATTGAACCCTACGGACTAAGACTGGGATGCTACTAAAGTTCATGTGTGTGTAAAGGCAGGCGTCCCAATACTTTTGGCAATATAGTGTATGTGTATGTGGGATGACTCACCAGCTGGTATTATAAGCCTGCATCAGAAAATATATATTTTGCTTGTCAGTGGGTATTATTATTCCAGGGGTTATTGTTTACCCTGACACTTGATGAGGGTAATCGTGCTGGGTATTAATGCTTGCCCTGACACTTGATGAGGATTATATTGCTAGGGTTTATTGTTTGCCCTGACACTTGCTTGGGGTTATTGCTGCCCCTGACAGTGCCTGGGGATTATTTCTCAGGGTTATCATTGCTGGCCTAAACACTTGCTTTTGGGTTATCATTGCCTACCCTGATACTTGCTTCGGTTATTGCTAGGAGTTATCATTGCTGGCCCTAATGCATGCTGCGGGTTACCATTGTTTGCCTTGACAGTTGCTAGGGGTTATTGCTGGGGGTTATCATTGCTGGCTCTGACACATGCCGGGGGTTATTGCTGGGGTTTATCATTGCTGGCTGTGATGTATGCTGCAGGCTATCATTGCTTGCCCTGACAGATACTAGGGGTTATTGCTGGGGGTTATCATTGCTGGCTCTGACACATGCTTGGGGTTATTGCTGGGGTTTATCATTTCTGGCCCTGGTGCATGTTGCGGGTTATCATTGCTTGCCCTGACAGTTGCTAGGGGATTATTGCTGAGGTTTACCATTGCTGGCCCTGACACATGCTGGGGTTATTGCTGTTGGGTTATCATTGCTTACCCTAACACATGTTAGGGGTTATTGCTGGGGGTTATCATTGCTGGCCCTGACACGTGACAGGGGTTATTGCTGGCACTGACACTTGCTGGGGGTTATTATTGCTGGGCCTGATATTTGCTGGGGGTTATTACTGCTGCCAACAATGGGGCTGATTTTACTCTCATAATCTCTTCAGTGTACCCCCAGGTTCTATTTTGTGTTGCCAGCTATGGTTTATTTTTACACCCACTGAACCAATTATAGAACTGATTTGCATACTGTTACATACTTCTGACCACTGCACTCTGTACTATTCAATGTGTTTAAAAGGGGCTTTAGTGTGCGTTCGTATTACACTATGAATAGTTTCTAAATAACATTCCATTGTTAATATTCTGACTAAGCATTTTTCGTTATGTTTGTTTTTATTATAACACAGGATTCAGGGTTGGGGACTTTGCTCCCCCCATTTATACTCCCAGCACAGCAACTTAAAAAAAGTTGTCCGGGCCACCCCTGGCTACAAACCTTTCAGTGGTTACTGATACAGTATATATCTAACAGACACAGCAGTAGTACTGTAAGCCAGTAAATTCACTAGAATGACCATAATATGAGTTAATTTTAACTAGAGTATACCTTTCATTATAAATATGTACTGCTATATCTTCGAAGCAGAAACTCCACTTTCAGGGGCCCCACTTGTATGAGGCTGGCACAATGTTCATACCTTGGTGCTCCCGCATTGTAATAAAAGGGGGAATGCATTGCACAAAAGATGAACAGGGGTTCTTTCACTGTCAGGCTGGCTCACATTGAATTGTGAACATATTGACACAATCCACAGTTAGGACATTCAATACAGAGGGCACATTCCATTAGTGACATGAAAGAGCTTAACTGTGTTCCTGTCCAGCTGTCACGGGTTGCCATAGCAGAGTGCTTCCTAAATCATGTAACATTTGATCAATCTGTACCAAAACGCCTTGTGCTTCCTCTCCAAATTATTTCCCTATTTAGTCAGGTCTCATGAGCTTTATCCACTTACATCACCCTCGATTTGTCAGTGTCATTCCGGGTAAAGAGTTGGTCCAAATTGGGTACCACGAATTTGAGGGTGCTGAGCCACTGCTGGTAATTATTTTTCACTTTGCCAATTGCCAAATAAGTACCAGTCAAACAGTATACTACCGGCTTAAAGTGACATTAAAGTATATTTTTTCCCCTCCCCCCAATGTTAGTGTAAGCACTTACCTTAAATGATGTCTCTTAATCTGATCTTCTTCTTTCCTGTCGTTTTCAGATGTCCCTCCAGTGCTGCTGCGGGTCTCCGATCCAGCGCTGACTCCTCTATGCTTGCTGGCACTTCCTGTCCCAAAGTGTCTGCATGTGGGTGCACGCTGTCCATAGACTTACCTTGTGTCTCTCCTCGTCTCCCGGTTAAAAATCTGAACTGCGCATGCTCCCGCCCCAAGATCCTTTGCGGCTGCCCGAGATTTTTCAGATTTTCGGATGGGAGCACGCGGCGAAGACACAGGTAAGTTTTAACCTCTTGTAAAACTTTTTTTAAAAAGGTTTTTGCATATATCTACTGCTTTCTAGCAGTAGATATATGCAAAAAAAGCTGAGGGTTTAATAACCCTTTAAACAGCAGCTGCTGAGCTGAGCTATTCTACTCCACAGCAGGAGTTGAGCCCAGCCTTTTTTAGCTCAGCCAGGCTGTGCAGATTGGTATGGTTCGCTGTGAATTAAACTATTCACTCACACTGAGCCAAGCCCTGGCAAAAAGTTAAGGTGTGGCATGCTCAGAGAGCTGCATCCAGGAGCAACCATGGAAGTAAATCTTATAAAAAAGAGAGCAGAGATCTTCATTCTTTTAGAGCAGTGGTGGTCAACTGAAAATTTCCAGAGGGCCGAATAATAACAGCTCATTGTTCTGCACTAAAGTATAGTGCGTTGAGTTATGCACCTCAATGCCTGAAAATGTCAGTCCTGCTGTGTTTTTTTATGCACATTTAAGAGAAGATCGAGGTAAAAAAGGTCCATCGTAGGTGTGGCGGTACTAGTAACTCCGAGCTTTGGTGTCATTAACTGCAATAGTAACCCCCAGAATTGGTGTCAGTCACAGCAATAAAAAACCCCAGCATTAGTGTTAGTCACTACAATAATAACCCCCAGCATTGGTGTCAGTCATTCCAATAATAACTCTAGCATTGGTACCAGTGAAAGCAATAATAATCCCCATAATTGGTGTCAGTCACTACAAAAATAACCCCCAGGATTGGTGTTAGTGGCTGCAATAAGAACCCCCAGCATTGGTGTTATAGGCTACAATAAAACCCCTAGCATTGGCGCCAGTGACTGCAATAATAACCCCCAGCATTGGTGTCAGTCACCAAAATATTAACCCCCAGCATTGGTGTCAGTTACCACAATAATAACCCCTAGCATTGGTGTCATTTGCTACAATAAAACCCCCCAGCATTTGGTGCCAGTGACCACAATAATAA